TTGCGAGCGCAGTAAAACTTCTACTAAAACTAAAAAAGCCTGCTACTGACCTGCACGCGAGCCTCGGAGAGCCCTAGCCTCTGACTCAACTCCTCCCTCATGAAGGCGTCTGGGTAGTGCGTCTCCTCAAACAGCCGCTCCAGCTCGTTCAGCTGCTCCAGACTGAAGTTCGTCCTTGACCTGCGCTGCTTGACCTTGGGTAAGTTGTCCCCGTCGTCTGCGTCGTCGCTGAGCTGTGACGTCACCGCCGCTTGGTGCGGAGTGCTCACGTCTCGTTTGACTTTATAAAAAAGAAAACACGGAAACGGTGAAAAGGAAAAAAATTAAATGGTTAGATTTTATTCATAATAATATAACTTTTCAAGTCAATTTAATTTTATTCATATTGGTGGGGGGAGGGGGGGTATGGGGCGCAGGTGAGAATCTGCCCAACGATGTGGGTGAAACCAGGTTCGATTCCCTCGAGATATGTGACCTTAGTTGGGTAGCTATAACAGCGAGCTGTTTTATTTAGTTTTCTTACAGCCAGCTCTGTCTTATCAGTTGTATTGATGGAGGCGTAAAAACACCTACATTAAAAAAAAAAGTTTTTTTTAGGGAAGGTAGTTCGGCCAAGACAAAAAAAAACCCCATATTATTGATCTCATCTGACCATCGATAATCCTTGTAAGAAGCACAGAAAATTTAGGGGGTGGAGAGAAGGGGGGGGGGTCTTGTGGTCTAGAGGTTAAGGTGTTCGCCTCTCATTCAATAGGTCTTATGATAGGAAAGATCTACACCTAGCCTTCTCGGATCAGGGCGAACAATCTCGGAGGTCTCGGGTGCAAGTTGCGCATGTTAGGGATCCATTTGTTGTCCAAAACCGATAAGAGTAGGCTGTGGCCGCCACTCGGGCAAAATTTAAAAAGTTCCTACCGACTGCGAATGCTTACTTTGTCCCACGCGCTCATGACTTTATGCAGTTACGAGCACCGTAAAAGTTCACTAAAGAAAAAGTAAAGACATAGAACCTTGCAAAAACACCCTAAATTCGATTTCCAAGTAAATGCAGTTACTTTTAAAAAAATTTAGGTTGGGTATGCACATGTGTGTTTGTGTGTTTTGGGGGAGAGAGAGAGAGGGGGGGGGGGGGGGGGGGGGGGCAGGTTGACGGGAGAAAGGGAGCGAGCGTAATTTTTGAAAAAATATAATATTTTAGAAATTTGTACACTGTTGTCGACTTTTTCATTTGATATTATTTTATTCTCTAATACTAGTCCTCAGTTATGATGTCATCGTTTTATCCCGAATCTATCATTAGCAACCCCAGCAAAACAAACACGCGTGCTCTGAATTAATTTATTTGTCTTTCTTCATGCTGGTGATTATAAATCAACGGGTTTATATACCTGCTCGCATAAAGCATACATAACATTAGTCTGGTCAAGGATAAAGCAAACAATGAAAGACGCTTGAATAAACTTTCCTGTATCTCTGAAAACATTAGTAGTGGCTGGTGTGGTCTTTAATTTCAGTCTGTGAGACGGACAGCGGATTATTACCGGTCCTGATTTGTGAGCAGCCAGTCAAGTGGTGGGTAATAATTTCAGGGGAACTGCGGACACATTTTCATGTCTTGGTCTTTCAATATATTATTATCGTTAA